AAAAAACAAATCTAGGGAAAATACACTTGAGGAGAGGACTAGGAGGGCTCTGCAGCTATCAAGGAGAGAAAGAGAAGGGAGGAACCACAGCAGGTGGAGATGAAGGCCATTGCTTTACTCACTACTTTCCTCCCAAAGAACCCTAAACAGAGCCCTCCCATAGACCCCAGCAACAGATGGTGTGGGAGTGAGGAAGGGGTGGGAGATGAAGCAAGCCCATGCCTGGTGCTTGAGTATTCTTCAACCAGCTCCAGTCATGGGGGTAATCTGAATCCTGCCCTATGAGCTAGCATTCTGCTGGATATGCCTCTGAGCCTCCTAGAAGAATAGAGTTGTGAAGGGAGTGTCAGGTAAGGGCTGACTCTTGATAGAACAGTACCCAACGTCATATGGAAAACAACAACAACAAAAAAACCCAGGCTAGCTAAAACAACCCTCTACAATAGAGAAACTTCTGGAGGCATCACCATCCCTGACTTCAAGCTCTATTATACAGCCATAGTCCTGAAAACAGCTTGGTATTGGCACAGAAATAGACAGGTAGACCAATGGAATAGAGTTGAAAACCCTGATATTAGCCTATACACCTATGAAGACCGGATTTTTGACAAAGAAGCTAAATTTATACTATGGAAAAAAAAGAAAACATCCTCAACAAATGGTGCTGGCATAACTGGATTCAGACATGTAGAAGATTGCTAATGATCCATATCTATCGCCATGCACTAAACTTAAGTCCAAACGGATCAAAGACCTCAACATAAATTCAGCCACACTGAACCTCCTTGAAGAGGCACCCTTGAAAAAATTGGTACAGGAGACCCCCTTCCTGAACATTACACCAGTAGCACAGACACTGAAATCAACAATTAATAAATGGGACCTCCTGAAATGGAGAAGCTTCTGTAAGGCAAAGGACACAGTCAGCAAGACAAAACACCAGCCCCCACAGAATGGGAAAAGATATTCACCAACCCCACATCTGAGAGGGGGCTGATCACCAAAATATACAATGAACTCATGAAGCTAGCCACCAAAACACAAAACAACACAATTAAAAGATGGAGTGCAGAACTAAATAGAGAATTCTCAACAGAGGAATCCAAAATGGCTGAAAGACACCTGAGAAAGTGCTCAACATCCTTAGCCATCAGGGAAATGCAACTCAAAACCACTCTGAGATACCATCTTACTCCTATCAGAATGGCTAAAATCAATAATACCAATGACAGTCTATACTGGAGAGGATGTGGAGAAAGAGGAACTCTCCTCCATTGCTGGTGGGAGTGCAAACTTGTACAACCACTTTGGAAATCAGTATGGCGGTTGCTCGGGAAAATGGGAATCAGTTTACCTCAAGATCCAGCAATCCCTCTCTTGAGCAGATACCCAAAGAATGCACACTCATACAATAAGGACATATGTTCTATTATGTTCATAGCAGCATTATTTGTAATAGCCAGAACCTGGAAA